AAAACCCCCAGAAGTGTTTCCTCTCTTTCAAACTTTTTCACTGAAATTCTTACCCAACCAGCTGTAAGCCTAAGGCTAGAAGTCTAGCAGGTTTCAAATACAGCTCCAGAGAGAGAAAGACAGACTCCCTTTGGAGTTTCATGTAGGAACTGGATTATTTCTGTATGGTCCTGGTTGCATAAATGTTGGATTTCAATGCATGGGCAAAAGAGGCTGGGGCGGGGGGGTGGAATTCGTGGGGAACTTGAGCATTTTGTATTAATTAAGCCCCTTTCCCCGGAGCACTTCACTGAGTCACTTTGTGGCTTTCCAGCTCTCCCCTTCAAACCCCATCCTTTGAGCCCAGGGATTACGGAGGAGAGGAGCCTACAGGGCCAGCTACTTTTCCATGCCCTGCAGTGAATACAGGATTGTCCTTACAGAACAGACAGCCTGGAGATTTAAGGGCCAAACCCTCCAGCTAGTGTAAATAACTCCATCAACTTCAGCTACGTTGATTCACTGCAGTTACAGATCCAACCCCCCGGATTTGAGTAGCTCGGACTCTCCCTTGGGCATTTCAATTAAACGCCTGCTCTGGGGCTCTCAGAGCTGAGTGTGAATTCCTGCTTTCCTTTGGAGCTGGGTGCTGTGGTGCGAGACCTCCCTGGTGGCTTTGCTGGTGAGGAAGGAGTTATTGTTAAATCTTTCCATCCCTCTCAACCAGCCCCATTATTTTATCCTGACAGTATGTGTCACCAGCAGTTTCAATAAAGCGCCGGCAGAACCAGCGGAGGCTGATGACAATCTAATGAAGACAAGGCGGTTGGAGCTGGATCCTTGTTAGTTTTCTTTATGAGCAGCTGTAGACTGGGGAGCAGCGACAGGCATGGAGAGCAGAGCCAGGGAAATCACATTCCACTTGCAATGGAGAAATAAATAGCTTGTGATTTGCAGGAGGAGGAAAACAGCCCCCTGGGAGACATCCTGGCACTAAGGGGCAGTTAAATGTCCCCTCGGGAATGGAGAGCACAGCCCCCACCAATACGCTTTGACCAGACCAGCTTCCTGTGAATCGTTTTACCCTCAGCACTGTCTCCCATTAGAAGGGGTTTAAACTCTAATACATTGTGCAGGGATATTGTCTTCTTATTACTAGTATTGTGGTAGCACCAAGAAGCCAATCACAGACCAGGACCCCACTGTGCTAGGCACTGTACAAACACAGGACAGAAAGCTAGCCCCTTCCCCACAAGCTAAGATTCTGTGTAGTGAGCCCTCATTCCATCCCCTACCCCACATATCAATCCCACCAACTCACCTACCACCCTATCTGCCACCTTGTCCACAGACCCCCCAAAACAGCCCTCTGCATCTACCTCCCAATTACTAAACCTTTTTCCAGTCATCGTCCCCCAGACACAACCAAGCACTGTGCTCCAGTGGCCTGAGCATGTGGCCCTCCTGCACTGTAATCCCCGCTTTGCCATAGCTTCTCTCTGCAGTCTTAGGCACGTCACTTTACCGCTCTTCCTCAGTTTCCCCACCTGTAAAATGGGGATAATGGCACAGGCATATTGTGAGGATAAATACATTAAACATTGTGAAGTGCTTAGATACTATAGTGATGAGCACCTGATAAATACCACAGACTGAGACACAGAATGCAGGAAACTGCCAGACTGGACTAAAATAACGGTCCCCCAGTCCATTATCCTGTCACCAGGTGTGCAGAAACCCCCTCCCTGTGCCTGGCTATGGGGGAGATATCAGCCTGAGCCCTATCGGCTGGATAACTTGTGCCTTTATGGGAACGTTTACACGCAAAGCTCTCTCCTTTTCTGACGCTGCCTGATTCATCCAGTCGTGCATTCATCTAGTGTTTGTGACCTCGGGAGGGCTTCGGTGGCAGAAAATTGTGGGAAGGAAATCCATGGCACAGAGTGAATCACAGCAGAACAGGAAAGCCTCTAGAGAGAAGGGAGCTTCTACTGACACCCCGGTAGCTGAGTCCACAAGCAGCGAGGTGAAAGCCAGTGGCAGGGTATTGGAAATCAGGGCTGTGTGTGCTAGTTGTTCCAGTCTGCTGAGTGATTCTTTAAATACAAGGGGCCATTCTGCCCTCACTTGTAGGGATGTAAATCTAGAGTAACTCCTCTGATTTCCCCAGCAGGTATTGACTCCCAGCATACGCATTCGCTAAAGACACAAATGTGGGTGGATGCCTCACTGACTGACAGCCAGGCAGGTGGAGAATTTCCTGACCAATCCTGCTTTGTTGTGCTCAGGACAGAAAGAAACTGGCAGCCATGAGTGAGCTGATTCCCACCTGTGTTTACATCTTTAAGAAGTAACTGAACCTTGTCCATGAGTACACTGAGATTTCCTGCTACTCCATATACCCAGTGCATGGTGTAAATAAATAATAGGCTCTATGAGATTTTCATCTAGAAAGGAATCGACAATCGATGCCTATTGACTGTTCAATACGGACAGACCTGTTTTTGACTTGCAGAAACCATGGTTATTATTCAAGTGTGGTACAAACTACTAATAAAGGCTCTGGGAAGAGAGGGCCAGATTCTCAACTGTTGTAAATCAAGTCAATGGAGCTATGATGATTTTCAGTTCACTCTAAGAGCTGTGGGTGTATTTGAACTGTGTGTGTATATACAACATTTGACCAAGGAAAGAAATCCGCAGAGCTCCACAGAGCACAGCAGGACAGGTCAGCACTAGCTTACTGGGAAGTATATTTGGTTGTTACATGGCAGTGGTGTACTTGTCCCCTGAATGATCATTATGCCAGGACATACCCACAATGATTTCCAAGATAACAGAGAGGGAAAGAGGCAGGAGTTTCAGCATGTGGATGAGTGGCTAGGCAATGGACAATTCAATGGTAGTCAATGTGCTGGCCTGTTAGTTCTCAATTGATTGGAGCTTCCTATTGATTTCAAATTTAGTGGGGATGGCTCCTGGACTAAAATAGCATGAAAGTGATTAAATCAGGCCAGTCTGAGATGCAATGTAACAGCAGAACCGAAGGAAATTGAGAGCTGGAGAAGAAATTACGAAAGGACAGCCCACTTCAGAATCCTTTCCCTCTGAGCACTTGCTGCTGGGAAGGCCCATTGTCAGAGGCCTCACAGGGCGACTCTGCTTTGGCACCATTGACAGCTTTCGCTCCCCCAATGGAGAATGTCCAACCTGACCCAGTCTGCTTGATCAGAACCTTCTGAACAAAACCAGGCAAAACTCAGTGGCTTATTGGTTTTGAACCTGAACCCAGGGTGGGAAACACATGCAAATCTAACCTAATCGATCCAGCTTCCACAACCCCTTGTGAGCCAAAACTACCAAGCTCCAGCCAGCTCTGGAACTTCTGCTACCCTCTAGGGGCTGCAGCAAATGAAGACTGTATCAGCCTTAATATTTCTGTTCCTAACTGGGATTCTCCATTAGCTGAGGTGGTGGAGGCCTGGGCTTTTGGAGCAGGAGAGTCTAGATTCTAGCCCAGCTGATGACAATGACCTCTGTGAGAACATAGCATTGTTACAAAGCCTTGGAACGAAACAGGAGGGAGAGTCACAGGCCAGAAGCTAGGTGCAGCAACAGGGCAGGGTGTGAGACCATGGGCTGGACTAGCAAGGGGACTGTAAGTCAGGACAGAAGTGCATTGGCAGAGTTGGGTGGTGCACCCCATGCCCAGCACTACTTACCCACTCTTTTCACATGCACTAAATTCACTCCCAAATTTTCAAAGAAACAGGACTACTTGCAGGAGACTTTGCCTAGAACAGCACATACCCGAAATCCCTGCCTTTCAGACCAACAGAATAGTGCCCACATTGTTCCGCAGGTATGGATTTCCACTGAGCAAACCACGGCCATTCTGGATGTATCACACCAAGTCATTCTGTCAGAGCGAGTCACGGAGATCCACCTGCGAGGGCAACACTTTTCCAGTGCTCTCTATGGGAATAGCCAAACACCTACTGGATAATGACACTGAGTGGTAAGAACTCCCAGTGAGAGGTATCTTTTTCGTGTTGCTCTGGAAAGTGTTGTACAGTCTATTATGTTACTGCCTTAGTAGCACAGGACAGCCAGAAAGGCAGCTGAGATACCAATTTTCTTTAGAGTGATTGTTAGTATTAAAATTATATCCCCATTGTGCTGTACAAACACAGAGTGAGAGAGAGTCCCTGTGCCAAAGAGCTCACAGTAATATAACTGTGATGTTACTAAATCTCCGGAAATACCTGGCGTCCTCACTGCCTGGCATGCAAGAGGCAATAACTCACCTATGGAGTCCAGAGGACAGGTGGCACTGAGCCGGGGGTTGGCTGATTCAGGGGCATTCAGGTCCTACCTGAAACTTCAGCCACAAGAGGAATGGCACCTTTCCTGAGGGGCATCCCGCTTTCAAAAATGCTGGTTCAGTCCCACACACCAGTGAGCTCTCAGGCTCCTGGCAGAGACTGAAGGGCTGAGATGCCACAGCCAAGGCTGCTCCTTGGCTGGAAGCACTGGAAGGAATCTCATGAGACAGCCTCTTCTCAGGAGATTTCCAGCCCGGATTTGAGGACCCACGGGACTTGAATATATAGCTGCTAAAAGCAAAGGGGAGCTTCCACCTCATTCTGCTCCCTGGACTGGCTGAGCAGTGCTCCCCCACAGCACCCCCCTCCTCTCCCTGTGAGAGGCAGGGGGTACCCGGAAGCAACCAGACTCTCACCTGTATGTCCCTTCACCCCAGTAAAGGGGGTTCTGCCTGCCTGAGGGGGGAGGGGACCACTTGTCTATCCACTCTCCTTAAAGGGTCCTGCAATGGGCCGCAGATACAGATCAGCAATAACTTCATCTCGTCCTTCCCTCCTCCTTCCATCCATCTCCCCCCATCAACACGGCATGCTCCCCCCATTGTCCGCCCCCACCCTCCTATTCTGGGCAGGCCATTTGATGCCCAAACACTACCCCAGTCTTGCATTCATAGTCCCAGCAGCTGCCCAGCTCACCCCCCGCAGCCAGTGCCACTGACTGGGATCCACACTCCAGATCTTCGCATGATGTTCTAGATACGGATGCTTTCCCTGTAGCACAGTCCTGCTTTCACCAGCTCTCCCCTCTCTATTTCATCCTACACCTCAATTGCTGTTAAAAGACAAGAGAGCAAATGAAAGCAGCAGAACTGGCTAAAGGAGGACTTCCCCATAAGGGGGTATCTGCAAGCTAGCACGTATTTCATGGCTGTACCCTATATTTGTGTACCACTTTCCTGAAAGCACTTCCCACATGATTCCTTGAGGAGGCCTTCCTGCAGCCTGGCCCATCACTATCCCCATTTCACTTATGGGGAAACCGAGGCACACACCAGTCAAGTGACTTGCCCAAGTCACCCAGCGGATCAGTGTCAGAGCCAGGTACCCTAACATCCTAGTCTCCTGCCATAACCACTAGGCAACCACCCCCTTATACAACAGGAATTCCCTCTGGCCAGCAGCCAAAGTCACTGCTTCCCCTGTCTTCCTCTTTGATACGAGTTCAGCCCTTTGAGTTTCTCCTTCCCAGCTCAGCTCCCCTCCCTGCAAGGCAGTCACAGCCCCATGTCCACACAGCAAATTCGGTCTGAAACTCAGCACTACGGTTTCACTGCAGGATCAACTAGGAAAGAGAAGCCAGGCTGGGGGGAGCAAAAAGCCTGCGTTAGATTTTCTTGTGGGCTTATGGTAGCATAAGACAGGCCTTGAGTCTCAGATGAGGCCCCAGCTGTGGAGAGTTTGCTGAGCGGGGAAGCTTTGCTATACAAAGTGCTCGCAATGTGGATTGGGTGGGGGCCACTGAAGCCAGGATGGTGGGGGACACACCAATTCAATTGCCTCCGTAGTCTGGGTTCCCACAGTGCAAAGCCCCAGCTGCAGATTAAAGGTGCCCTGCCCCCCAGCAGAAACCACCTGCCCACACGTGGGGTGAAACTGGGTGCCTGGGGCAGCTGAAACTAGTGAACGTGGCTGACGTGCATTCGGAAGGGGGAAGAGGAGGAGACAGAACAGATGAATGGCAAGTGCCCAAGTGTGGAAGGGCTTTGTGAAGGGAGAGTGATCTGGTGCAGGGTTCATGTCACAGCTGTCCCTCCTTGACACTGAGCATCAAACTGGTGGCCAGAAGCAGTGCTTAATTTATAATGAAAGAGGTGCCGGGGCTCAAGCAATTTTTTTTACTTTCATAAGTGATGTGGAAACCCAGAGGTGCCAGGGCTGAGCCCTGGCACAAACTAAGCACTGGCTGGAAGTGCACAGGCAAGCACCCCTGGAGGATAGTCCAGCTGTTAACCAGTTCACTAGCCCTACTGTGAGCAACGAGGGGATATTTCCCACTGCCAAAATGGCATTTTCTTGCCCAAATTCCCTAGGGCAAACACCTATCACTAGAAGCTACCCCCATATTTTCCTTAGTGGTTCACACCAAAATCTGCATCCAACATGCATGCAAACAAGAAGGAAGTTTCAAGAGTTCCCTCTTGCACGGTGCCCAGGGTTCCATGCATGCAAAGCAGGACTTGCCCCGTGGTGGGATGCAAACACACCAGAGAAGTTAAATGCAGTAGTGTCTGGGAGAGCAGTGTGGAGGTGTTAACAGGAGAAGTTGTGGAATAATTTATCTGGGGAGATTTAGGATTTTCCCTCCTTCAAAAATGGAACCCTGAGAGACAAGAGCCAATCTGGTTCAAGAGAAGCCCGGAGGGCTTCTCACAGGTGCACAAGGACTGAAATTCTTACAAAGGAGCAGCCAGCCCTCCTCCAGGAATTTCTGAGCTTGCAGCCATTCCCAAGAGATTCCAAGCCAGTCACATGCCATCACGGTGCAGGCTGGCCTCTTTCATTAGAAAGTCTCTGAAAAATGGATCTGCATTTTCCCCAGCTTCTGCAGGTTGACGGGGCAGTAAAAGGGAGATAATGTGACCTTTGTGCAAGACCCAGCCTGCACAGTTCTAGCAGCACCTGTTAGTTACATACTGAAACCCCTTTAATTTAGAACACACTGAAACACAGCACATTCAGAGGGCCAAATCTCAGCCCTGATCCAGCCCCTTCATGAGGCTTTGGCAGCTTACAGGGGGCATAAAGTTCGTTTACCTGACCTCCTGGGCAGTGTAGATCTGATTTATCTCCACCTCTTTGTGGCTACCCCAGCTGGTGAACCAGCCCCTTGAGGGTCATTGTAACCAGAGGCAATTTACTGCAGCCTCAAGGCTATTCTAAACTGTGACAGACTGAACCTGCCCCCAGCCATCCCCAGAGGACGGGGATAAATGTGGTGTGAAGCCACCTTTGTCCCCAACTCCCCCCAGCTGACAAACCACCCCTAAGATATTCAATGTTTCTGAATAGGGAAGGAAGTCATCTCTCCTAGCAGCGTTTCTACAGCACCCGGGGCCCTGGGATGTGGTAATCCACTAGCCATTCAGCATTTCATAGAATATCAGGGTTGGAGGGGACCTCAGAAGGTCATCTAGTCCAACCCCCTGCTCAAAGCAGTACCAATTACAAGACAGATTTTTACCCCAGTTCCCTAAATGGCCCCTCCAGGATTGAACTCACAACCCTGGGTTTAGCAGGCCAATGCTCAAACCACTGAGCTAACGCTCCCCCCCCACAACGCGGGGTTCACACAGGAAACTGGAGCACTCAGCTCTCCCCCGGGGAAGAAGTTCTAAGCAATGCCAACTATAAAGGCAAGTATCTAAACCCCTGACCGCGTTCAACCAGGGAGCGCCTCGCTGGAGCGAGCACTGCTCCCCCTCCTCCTCCTCCCCGGAGATCCAGCGTCCCAGCAACCCGCTACCTCGGGGGTGCACTGACACACCGCACCCGCAGCCCCGTCCCCGAGCCCCGCAACATACACCCCGATCCGCGCTGGGGTGGGCAACTGCGAGGGGAGCCCCCGCGTGGCCAAGGGGCAGCCTGGCCAAAATGCCTCCCTGGACCACGGGCCGGAGCTGAAACTTCGCAGGAGGCTGAACCGCCGGGGGAAGCGGGGGCTCTGGCTAGTCATGCCCGGCCCTGAGGCTGCAGGGACTCCCCGCCCACACACACGCCGGGGCAGCCAGTGGCTGCTGGGCAAGGGACCGCACCTGCCTCGGCGCGGTGCACCGACCCCGGGAGCTGCCCTCCCGCCGCAGCCGCCCTGGGCAGCTCCTTGCACCGTCCCCGGCTACTCGCCCGTGGACGCTTAGGGTCTCCACAACGCCCCGCTCACCTCTCTGCATGAGGCGTCCTGGGGAGCCCGCCCCGCGGGAGGGCCCCAGCCAACCCCCCCGCACCGAACCAGTCCGCCAGCCAGAGCCGGGAAGCGGGCACCGGCTGGGCCAGCAAACCCCGCGGCGGGGGCCGCAGGGAGAAGCCCGCGTGCAGCGCTGCTCGGATGCCGCCGCTTACCTCGCCCGGACTCTGGTGCAGCGCGGACCGCCTGCAAACTCCGCAGCTGGGCTCGGGAGCCTCACGGAGCCAACCCCCGCGGCCTGGGCAGCCGCCAGCCCCACGGCATCCTCCGCCGCCCCCTGCCAGAGGAGCGGACTGCGTTTGTCCAGAAGCTCGGCGCGCCCCCTGCTCCGTCCACATACACGCGCGCCGCTCTGCTGCTGAGCCTCGGCGCCGCTCCGTGTGTGGCGGTGCCAGCCCTGCGCTCCTCCCCGCCCACCCCCGGACTGCAGGGTCCCACCCCCGCGTGCCCGGCGGGATCCCAGCCCCCAGGGCTCACAGGGGAGGGGAGGCAGCGCGAGCCTCCTGTGCCGTCCCTGCAGTCACCCGCTCCGCTGCGAGCCCGGCCTGGGGAGAGCAGTGCTGGGGCATCCTGGCTGCGTCTACGTGTGTCCCCCCAACTCCATGCGGGGCTGGGCATGAAAGCCCCTGCTCTGGCTCTTTTGCAAAGCTATGGGGGGCAGGAGCTGACCTGGGCATGCCCCTAGCTCAGGCAGGCTGGGCATGGCTCCCTCATCCTTATAAATCCACATGTGAACCCAGAGCTGGGCAGGCAGCCCTGGAAGATGAAGGATTCTTAAGTCACAGAACAGGTGTGACCCAATGCAGGCTTCCTTCCCATGCTGCCCACCCCAGCACAGCTCCCCTTACCCTGGAGGTAACAAGATAGTTCAGCCTCTATATGGCTTGGCTTACCCAAGGCTTGGCCTTTTTCAGCTGAGGAGATGCTAACTGCTCAGGCACCAACTGATGCTGCTGGGTCTTTGCAAGCTGGAGCCACTGACTAGGAACACCAGGGTGCAGTTCTGTGGTACAGGCTGGCGAGCAGAATGTCTTTCAGTCACTAGTGATCTGTGCCAAGTTAGACCCACTGGCCTAGCCAGGGGGAGCTCTATTGTCCAGGCTCAGTCACTCTCCAGCCTCTCTCTAATGGCTGGACACTGTTACTCAGGCAAAGCCCTCTAGCCATTGCCACCATCTATGGAATATAAAGTCAAAATACAAAATATAAGAACAGCAGGGCTGGGTCAGGCCAATCCTCCATTTAGCCCAGTATCCTGTCTTCCAACAGAGGCCAGTGCCAGATGCTTCAGAGGGAATGAACAGAACCGAATCCATTCCTTGTTGTCCACGGCCAGCTTTGTCAGTCAGAGATTTAGGAACACCCAGAGCATGGGGTTGCATCTCTGACCATCTTGGCTAATAGCCACTGACAGACCTATCCTCTGTGAACGTATCTAATTCTTTGTTAAATCCAGTTATACTTTTGGCCTTCACAATATCCCCTGGCAACAAGTTCCACAGGTTGACTGTGCGTTGTGTGAAGAAGTACTTCCTTATCTTTGTTTTAAACCTGCTCCATATTCATTTCATGACCCCTCATTCTTGTGTTAGGTGAAGGGGTAATAATATTTCCTTATTCATTTCAAATCACCATTCATTATTTTATAGACCTCTATTATATCCCCCTTTGGTCATCTCTTTTCTAAGCTGAACAGTCCCAGTTTTTTGCCTCACCTCATATGGAAGTTGTCATAACTATAAAGGGAAGGGTAACAACCCTCCTGTATACAATACTATAAAATCCCTCCTGGCCAGAGACACCAAAAATCCTTTTACCTGTAAAGCGTTAAGAAGCTCAGGTAACCTGGCTGCACCTGACCCAAAGGACCAATAAGGGGACAAGATACTTTCAAATCTTGGGGGTGGGGAAGGCTTTTGTTTGTGCTCTTTGTTTTGGTGGTGTTCGCTCTTGGGACTAAGAGGGACCGGACATCAATCCATACTCTCCAAATCTTTCTGAACAAGTCTCTCACATTTCAAACTTATAAGTAATAGCCAGGCGAGGCGTATTAGTTTATCTTTGTTTTTCTCAACTTGTGAATGTTCCCTTTGCTAGAGGGAGGTATCGCTGTTGTGCTGTAACTTTGAAACTAAGGCTAGAGGGGGTTCCTCTGGGCTCTTTGAATCTGATTACCCTGTAAAGTTATTTTCCATCCTGATTTTACAGAGATGATTTTTACCTTTTCTTTTTAATAAAATCCTTCTTTTAAGAACCTGACTGGTTTTTCCATTGTCCAAAGACCCAGGGGTTTGGGTCTTTGATCACTTTGTAACCAATTGGTTAGGATATTATTCTCAAGCCTCCCCAGGAAAGGGGGTGTAAGGGCTTGGAGGGATATTTGGGGGAAAGAGGAAGTCCAAGTGGTCCTTTTCCTGTTTCTTGTTAAATCACTTGGTGGTGGCAGTGTACCAGGTTTTAACCTAAGCTGGTAGAAATAATCTTAGGGGGGCTTTCATGCTGGTCCCCACATCTGTAACCTAGAGTTCAGAGTAGGTAAGGAACCCTGACAGAAGTTGTTCTATACCCCCTAATCATTTTGGTTGCCCTTCTATATACTCTTTCCAATTCTAATATATATTTTTGAAATGAGGGTGACCAGCACTGCATGCACTATTCAAGGTGTGGGCATAGCACTGATTAATATAGTGGCATTATGATATTTTCTGTGTTATCTATCCCATTCCTAATGGTTCCTAATGTTCGGTTAGCTTTTCTGACTGCACTGCACATTAAGCAGATGTTTTCAGAGAGCTATCCACAATGACTCAGAGATCTTTCTTGAGTGGCAACAGCTAATTTAGACCTCATCGTTTGGTATGTATAATTTGGGATTATGTTTTCCATTGTTCATTACTTCACACTTACCAAGATAAAATTTCATCTGCCATATTGTTGCCCAGTCACCCAGTTTAGTGAGAATTTTTTGTAACTCTTTACAGTCAGCTTTGGACTTAACTATCTTGAGTAGTTTTGTATTGTCTGCAAATTTTGCCACCTCACTGATTACCCCTTTTTCCAGATCATTTATGAATATGTTGAACAGAACTGGTCGCAGTACAGAGCCTTGTTGGACCCCACTATTTATATATAAGAACATAAGAACGGCTGTACCAGGTCAGACCAAAGGTCCATCTAGCCCAGTATCCTGTCTACCAACAGTGGCCTATGCCAGGTGCCCCAGAGGGAGTGGACCTAACAGGCAATGATTAAGTGATCTCTCTCCTGCCATCCATCTCCATCCTCTGACAAACAGAGGCTAGGGATACCATTCCTTACCCATCCTGGCTAATAGCCATTAATGGACTTAACCTCCATGAATTTATCCAGTTCTCTTTTATCTCTCTCCACTGTGAAAACTGTTTATTCCTATCCTTTGTTTCCTATCTTTTAACCAGTTATTGATGCATGAGAGAACCTTCCCTCTTATCTCATGACTGCTTACTTTGCGTAAGAGCCTTTGGTATGGGACCTTGTCAATTTCATCATGGTTGGTGTGAAGTAATGAAGAGTGGAAAACATAATCCCAACTATACATACAAAATTGTCCACATGCTTGTTGACCCCCTCAAAGAATTCTAGATTGGGGAGGGATTATTTCCCTTTACAAAAGCCATGTTGACTCTTCCTCAACATATCATGTTCACCTGTGTGTCTGATAAATCAGTTCTTTACTCTAGTTTCCATCAATTCAGCCAGTGGTACTGAAATTAGGTTTACCAGCCTGTAATTGCCAGTATCGCCTCTGGAGCCTTTTTTTAAAAATCAGTGTTTATATTAGCTACACTCCAGTCATCTGGTACAGAGGCTGATTTAAGCCCTAGGTTACATACCACAGTTGGTAGTTCTGCAATTTCATATTTGAGTTCCTTCAGAACTCTGGGGTGAATGCCATCTGGTCTTGGTGTCTTATTACTGTTTATCAGTTTGTTCCAAAACCTCCTTTACTGACACCTAAATCTGAGGAACTGTCCCAGACTGATCACATAAAAAGAATGACTCAAGTAGGGAATCTCCCTCACATCCTCTGCAGTGAAGACCAATACAAAGAATTAATTGAGCTTCTCTGTAACAGCCTTGTCTTCCTTGAGTGCTCCTTTAGCATCCTGATCATCCAGTGACCCCAGTGATTTTTTTGGAAGGTTTCCTGCTTCTGATGTACTTTAAAAAATTGCTGTTAGCTTGTGTGTCTTTTGCTAGCTGCTCTTCAAATTCTTTTTGGGCCTTTTTTATACTTTTGCATTTGACTTGCCAGAGTTCATGCTCGTTTCTATTTTCCTGAGCAGGATTTGACTTCCAATTTTTAAAGGATGCCTTTTTGCCTCTAAGTGCCTCTTTTAAGCTGCTGTTTAGCCATGATGGCATTTTTGGTCCTCTTCCCCCCTCTATTTGGGATATATATATATATATAGTTTGAGCCTCTGTTATGGTGGTTTTAAATAGTTTCCATGTCGTTTGCAGGCATTTTACCCTTGTGGCGGTTTCTTTTAATTTCCATTTAACTAGCTTCCACATTTTGTGTAGTGACTCACCGAAGGTCACCCAGGACATCTGTGGCAAAGCAGGGATTTGAACCCAGGACTCCCAAATCCTAAATTAGTGGCTGGACCATCCCTCCTCCTAGATCTGGGTCCAAACTGCTGCTCTGCCCCATTGCTACTGAAAACATATAAAGAAGTACATTCCCAAGACTTCCGTCCCCTTGCTTACACAACGCCCATTATTTCACCCAATTAAATGTTTTCTTGCTGATAAGGAAGACCTGTAAAGTTTACTCATAGTCTTAAACCTGCACTGAAATGATTTCTAACTTGGATAAAGTATGTGGGGAAACAAATACCACAATTAGAACAAAGGCTCTTGAAGCTCTATACATCCAAGATTCAGACTTGGCATGGAGCTAACCCAGAGGCACAATGCCGCAGCCTAATCAATGTTGTCATCACTGCAAACTGCTCCCACAGCGAACACCCAGCCCTCTCTCTCCTCTCCCATCCTCTACGTTAGAGCTGGTCAAGTTCTCTGCAGTGAATCTGAAGCACTGAGTCCTTTTTTCTGTTCCCATGGTACCCACTGAGGTTGGATTTTTTAAATTGTATTTTATTTTTACTAATTTGTTCATTATTCATAAAGGCTGGGAAAAACCCATTTCAGCCAATAGTTTATCTGCCAGCTGAGTGTTGGCTCTTTGTGCCCTGAGCCTGGTCACATGGGATTGTTTGTGATACCTACTTGGATGACCTTCATGAAACAGGAGGTGCACCCTTTTTTGTCTGCAATCCATTCACAGTGGGCTTGTTATCATTGGACGACTCTACTAACAATGAAGAGCATTTCAAGACTGCCCCAGGGGCACTTCCC